AGCTCGGGGGCGAGGAGTGATGAGGATGGGTGCAAGGGAGGGAGACAGGCGCAAAGGTGAGTCAGAAAAGGGGGTGCCGTGAAGTATGTGGGTGCACGGGACGGGTGGGTGAGGAGGCTGTGGGGCTAAGAGGTGGGGCTGCGGAGGGGGGCGAGGGGGCATGGGGTGTAGCAGGCTGGAGAGTGCTGGCATAGGGATGGGTGGCACCTTGACGGGGCCAGGTCGCCTCGAGCTCCTTGGAGCACCGGTGGCACAAATAACAAGTTGTGATCGTTGCCAAAAGCAGTTATGGGGCCAAGACCAGCAGAGGGGCAGAGAGACACAGGGCAGGGAGCCTTGGCTGCACAGGCCCATCAGGTGTCCTGGCTATCATTCCCACGGGGCACCACCACCACCGTGGGTCACTCCTGTATCTTCCCAGGGCCCTGGATGTCCCTCAGAGAGGGGGGTACCCCTGTGTCCCCCATGCAGAGGGCCAGACAGCTCCTCTGGGATGCACAGGCAGCAGCATGGCGGAGAGCAGGGATGGCCACATCCTGCAGCGCAGGGAGGGTGTCAGGGCAGAGGCAGGAAGGAGATGCAGCTTTAATGGCATTTGTCAATGTTTACAACATGAGTCATACAGCTAAGCAGCCATAAATCAGCACCCCAACTCCTCTGGCATCAATCGTGTCCCCTCCTCTGTCACCCCAGCACTGGATGAGTGCCTGGCTCCTGCAGAAACAACCTCATAAATAACAGCAACAAAACAAACCCTCTTGCAGCCAGGGAGGGTTTGTGTGCGCCAGGCGTGAGATGAACGCCTCCCATCCATCACTTTAATGGTTGTACTCTGGAAATTAAACCTGTCATGGCCCATCAAGGTGAACGTTTTAAGTCCGTGACATCCCTTCAGCTACCTTGTGGAACTCTTTTTTGTTGCTTTCTTTCTCTCCTTTTCCTCTCTGCCCCTGCCATCCCTTTCCCCCCCATCTCACATCCACCCCGGTGTGCCCAGCTCCAGCCTGTGGTCCTCTCCATACTCCCCCACTGCTGGAGGACCAGGTTGTACATTGGGTGGTAGATGTCTTTAGCAACAAGGCTCCTGCAGCCATGGGTTGGCATCTGCCAGCATCTCAGAGCCCGGTCCTGTGTGCCTGCTGGGGGGGCAGAGCTCTCCTGGGGCAACGGGTCTCTCTTGCCCCACTGACCCCATAGGGCAATGACACAGAACTGGGTACCATCCTTTCCTACTTCCTCTGTCCCTGCTCCTTTCCTTCTCTGTCTTTACCCCCCACCCCCCTTCCCCACATTTACTCCTCTCCTGCTCCATGTATGCCAACCATTGCAGGCTCCTGGCACACGACCCCTGCCCTGACTCACATCTCCTCCCTTGGAGCAAGGGCTGCACCCTCCTCAGGACCAGAGCTCCCTCCCCAAGCAGTGCCAGGGCTCCAGACACCTCCTGCGTGGGCAGCAGGGCTCTGCTGTGCCCTGGGCTGGGTTGCCTGGGGACAGAGGGGGAAGCTGCTGAGCTGCCAGCAGCCACTGTGGGTCACTGTCACCCCACACAGGACCGTTGTTTGTTCGTTTGTCCATCGGTCCGCCCATCCATCCATCCATCCATCCATCCCCAAGCTCTTCTCACCCATCATCTCCTTCCCCTGTGCATCCCTCTGTCCCGAAAGCATTGCATCTGTTCCCCTGCCAAGGGTGCCGCCCCCCAGCCCCATGGCAGCATTACCCAGCCCTGCGAGGCGTGGCAGCCCCACTCCAACACTTACCTGTCCCATCCCTCGCTGCCGGAGGTGACCAGGGCTCCCAGGGGGCTGCTGCCCCTTGGCAACTCCCCCCCCGCCCCCAGCAGGTCCCGGGGACAGCCAGCCCTCCCTGCCACCCCCAGGCAGGGACAGGGAGACGAGAGAAGGGGACAGCAGGATGTGGGGCAGGAGGGAGACATCATGGGCTGCCTGGGGATGGGGCATCCCAGCCCGGGCTGCCCCATTCCTGCAGAACTACATGCACTGGGGTGGTGAAGCAGGGCTGCCCCCCGGGCTGGTGGTGGGACAGGGAGGCTGGGCATTGCGGGGCTGGTCCCTCTGCCTCCATGGCCATCTCAGCATCCCCAAGGGGAAGCTCAGAAATCGTACAGTGAGGTCTGTAGGTTCTACCAGGACCCTCTGGCATCCTGAGGACAAGGGCAGCCTCCTTGCTCAGGTGGGGCAGGGCTTGAGCCTAGTGCTTCTAGGGAGGTGGCAGAGGGTGTCTGTTGTCATCCTGCTACCAGGGGTTGATTTGAGCCCAGCCAGAGTGAGCAGGACTCCAAGAGGATTATCGAATGATTCCAAAAAGTAGCTGAGTGGGGTTTAGATATTGTCATGGGAAAAGGGGGGCTCACCACAGCATTGAGCCCTCACAAACAGCCTGAGCACCACCCTAAACCCAGGAGGGCTCTACCGCCACTTCACTTCAGGGTAATGCCACTCCAGTGCAACCAGGCTGATTGCAACATGGAAAACAGCACCGCTGCATTAGCCAATTAATCAGCTGTGCTTCATAAGGCAGCTTAATTTTGCCCAGCAAATGCAGCCCCCACCAGGCTACAGGGTGGAGGCAGGGTAGGCTGGCACACATCCCAGGCATCCTTCCTCCCATCCCTTCATGCCACCAAGGGGAAGGGCAGCTGGCATCACACAGTGCTCAGCGATGCACTTGCTCCAGGCACTGCTTATCTGCAGGGAAGGGGCAGTGTGTGGTCAAAGGAGGGTCCAGGGTCTGTCCCCTCCAGCTGTGTGAGTCTGCTGTCCCCACCCGGCTGCCTGGGGACCCTGGCAGGGCAGCACTGTGGCAGGAGGGGGGGTGTGGGGTGTGTGTGCAGAGTCTCCCGTCTCCTAAGGAAGAGCACAGGCATCCAGATAACAGCTTTATAAGGGAGGGATGTGGGGACTCCCCCAGATACACACAGAGGAATAATTATGAGTTAAATAGGATCCAAACACACATAAGTTAAAGGGGGGCAGGTACCCTGCAGCCCCACCTGCTCCACTTGGGCACAGTCTGTGTCTGCCAGCAAAGAGACCCCTGACACTGCAGCCCCTGTCCCCGGCCGGCTCTGTCCGCCTTTCACAACACAGAGTCGATCTTCCTCTCCGTGGCACCCATCTCGTTGTCCTCCTCTTCTTCTTCCTCCTCGCCCCCCGAGCAGGAGGAGTCCGGGCTGTAGCCCAGCTCGGCGGTGCTGCGGTGCAGAAAGCCGGAGCTGGGGCTGCGCCCCATGAACTCAGGGCTTTCGGCAGCCTGTCCCCGGGGTTCGCTGGGCAGCAGCTTCTCACAGGCTTTGCTGAGCCCTCGTTGCTTCTCGGCCTCCACCTGAGCGCCCTGCTCCTTGGCTTTGCGGCTCCGCTTCCACTTCATGCGGCGGTTCTGGAACCAGATCTTCACCTGCCAAGGAAGAGCCCCCAGGGGAGAATGTGCCCCCCTGCCCCATCCTGTCCCCACTCACCCCCTCTCCTTCCCTGCATGGAGGGTCCCCCCAAAAGCTTCTTTGTTGTGGGGCATCCTGTGGTGCTGCAGGTCTGCAAGGAGGCTGAGGATGTCATGGGGACAGGAATACCCGGGGGGCTGCTCTCTTGCCCCTGCCCAGCCTCTGTGGTGGGGGTCAGGGACAGAGGGGACCAGCAATCCCCCAGGATGCCCAAGGACTTGCACAGGGACATTAAAAGAGGAGTTTTAGCCCCACAAAAAGCCCCCTCCCACAGTGCGGGGAGGGATGGAAAGGCTCTGAAATCTAAGTTGGGGGTGCTGAGTAAAAAGAGGAACAGTATTTCTGGGGTGCCCTTTGCAAGAGAGGAGCCTGGAGCCCACCAGGCAGGTCTCTGCAGAAGATGCTCTGGGACAGGCTGCTGATGTGGGCAGTGGGGTGTGGGACTGATGGCAGCCAAATGAGGGACATCAGCATTGCCCATGACCTTGACTTCCCACCCCACAGCACAGGCCCCCCACCTCCCTGGCAGTGACCTTGGGCTATGCTCCATCCCTCCCCAGGACCAAGGTACCTGCGTCTCGGTGAGCATCAGTGATGTGGCCACCTCAAAGCGCTTGGGTCTGGACAGGTACTTGTTGAGCTTGAACTGGTTCTCCAGCTCCAGGAGCTGCTGGCTGGTGAAGGCTGTGCGGGGCCGACGGCACTTCCCCATCAAGCCAGACTGTGGAGCGGCTGCAGGGCAGACAGTGGGCAGGGGTCAGGGGACAGCGGGACTGGGGGGGACATCCCCTCAGCAAGCCCGGGATGAGGAGGAAGGTGAGTGTCTCTTCCATCATCTCCTGCCCCAATAATGACTTTATTGCCTGGCTGATAGGAACCAGCAAGATATGTTATCAGACCTCAGTGTGCAACTGGGATCAGTCCTGTGACTGAAATTAAACCTCCTTTTTTATTGCCAAGCTGTGCAGGTGGCTGCCCAACTGCCAGGCGCTGCAGCGGCAGGGCTGCCCATGAGCCCGGCTATCTCACCCGCAGCCCTTGAAGGCAGCGCGGCACTGAATCAGGAGGCAGCGGGAACAAAGGGACCTTTGAGAGTCCAGCGTGGGGTGGCTGCCGCACTGTGTTTGATGCCTGCTTATCTCCTCTCCGCTGGCTTTATTGTCCCCCCAGGGTTCAGCTTTTACTGCTTCTCCCAGCACCGCAGCGGCAATCAAACCCAGAGGTTTGCAGCTGGGAGTAAAGTACTGGAGCAGCGTGGTGGGGGCATTAACGGGAAAGGTCCTTGGCGCGTCCCTGCCGCTGTGTCTCAGGGGGTGAGACGGAGCATCGTTGCCACAGAGATGTGCCCCACTTGGCAAGAGTTGCTCCAGCTGGCCCGCTTTGCAAGGTATGGGGCACCATCCATGTTATCTCTCTCAGATTCCAGCTTTGATCCCGACCTGCCCATCTCCCAGGGTGTCCACCGAGCCCTTCACAAACACAGCAGTGACGCATGAGGCAGGAATTTATGAAGGGGGCATTAACTGATCCCGATCCGGGTTTGATCCCAAGTACCTGGATGCTGGGTGGGACGGGTCAAACAGGTAGAGGCCAGGCTGGGCTGGGGCTCTGCAAACTCCCCGTGGAAGCAGGGATGGACATGACCCCTCCCGCACCTGCAGACCCACAGTGCCAGGAGAGACAGCCCGTGGGACCCAGTATACAGCCACTGGCCAGTTAAACTAAGGACTGAAGAGAGGCACGCTCTGCCGACGGCTCTGACTCACACATGGTGCATTATTTTGCATACAAAACATACTCAAGGCTAAAACCAAATGAGAGGCTCAAAGGACTGCTGGGACAAATATAAATGTCAGATGAAAGATGGCGCAGCTCTGCAGAGCTCAGCCATGCTCTGGACTCTGGCTGGCTGTGGATACTCTGGCTGTACAAATCCTGGGCAGAGACACGGGAACAAACGGACCCAGGAAGGCTCTCTTCTGCTAAGGAAAGGAGGTGTCATGGGGACCAGTATCTGCAAGGATGGGGCAGCCCAAGCTAACACCCTTCACAGCTCCTCAGAGAGGGGAGGCCAGAGATGCATCAGAAAGAAAGGGAGCAGAAATTCATTCAGTCGATGTCGGTGGGGAGCACAAAGCAGCCCCAGGCAGCATCTGGCAGCTCAAAGGTGCTGGCCAGTACCCAGTAATCCCCCTTTGCTGCTAGACAGGGGGGTGCACTAGGGTACCCAAGTGCCTCAGTCCCTCCCTGAACTGGGGGCTGCACTGCACAGGCTGGCTCTACCGATTCAAGGAAGGGTCCCTCTAGCAGGTCCTCTTTCTGGCCAAAGTCTGTAGAGGATGCTTTGGGAAAAGAGAAGGGAAGAGGGTGTGCCCACATCCCAGCATCCAGTAATCCGGGCCTTCTGTGCTTTCTGGAGCCAGAGGCTGTTTTGCTAGGGGTGAAGAAATATCATATTCCCAGCCTGAATTTCCCACCCCAAAGCAGAGAGCCCAGCGTTCAGCTCCTAGGGCACTGCATCCTGGCTCTGGGGAGCACAGAAATCCTTCAGACCACTCCAAAATGCTCCTCTGTGCTGCCTCCTGCAAGGTCAGATGTGGCCAGACTAAAAACAGATGTGGGAAGAGTAGCGGCACAGAAGTGAGTCTCAACCCCAAAAGCATGGGGAGTTTGGTCCGTCCAGCTTCAGAGGAGACTGGAAGGCAGCTTGCTTTAACAACACCCCTCCAAGGGACTCGCTCTTCCCCAGGTAAGATGCAGAGGACTGCTTGGTCTAGCAGGGAAAAGAAGAACAGAAAGTTCACCCAAAAGCCAAATAAATCCAAACAGGATATATCCCAAATAACTGCCAATGCAGGGGACCGACAGCTGGAGCATGGTCCCTCTGCCAGCCCCAGGTTCCCCATCTCAGTGTCTCCAATTCAGGCCTAGTGCAGTGGTGTCCATTACAAACCTTGCACAGACCCTGACTTCCCTGGAAATCCACCTTGCCTCCTGCCCCAGTGCTGACAAAAAACCCCAACCCTCAAACCCCTCTGTGCCGTTGTCACACAGTCCAAGCCACCATCAGTCCAAAGCCCAGCCTACACAGGTATGCTGGCCACCTAACCTGTGACCTCCTCTGACCATACACCCTTCAGCAGCTACTATTATCCATCACCACTTGTTCAAGATTTTGCCTGCAGATGAGGTGGGGTGAGCCCAAATCGGCACAGCCCTAAGTTCCACCTGACGTTCAGCCACCTGCAGCAGCAGCTCAGAGTGAACCTGAACCACCAACATCTCTGGCCTCAGAGCAGCTGTCTGCTTCCCTGAAGGGCCCTGGCTCCTTTGCATGGGGAGAGTACAGAGGGAAGAGGGTCTGCAGTTTCTCACTGGAGAAGGAGCAAAGGGAGGAGGAAGAAGCGGAGTCTGAAGGTATGAGGTAGGTTCCAGTTTCCTCATCAAAGAGGAAATGGTGCCTTGTGGCTGCTGGTAGCTCCAGCCTGTCCTACCAGTGTGCGTGGTGGAGTCCTGTCCTCCCCCTGTCCTGTGGCAGGCTGTCACGTGGGCATGGACAACATCCTCCCAAGGGATGCACAGGGAGCACCCCCCCAGGGCTCACCTCCCCCAGTCCCTGCCAGTCGAGCTATGAACCCATCCCCATCACAACCACCATCCCACAGAAGGAGTAACCCTTTGGGAAGGCTCTCCTTTTTATTCAGCTCCTACCAGAAGACTAGTGACTGCCTCAGCATCACTTCTTTGCTTGCCAAAGGATTTCCTATCTGCTCAGCCATCTCCTCCAGTGCTACATCCAGCATCAGAGCTCATCTCAATATCCCTTCAGGCTGGCAGGGCTCGGATTCCCTGATGGGTGCCCAGCATTTGGCTGCAATATCAGTAAATAAATTGCTTGGCCTGGAGCTGGGAATGCCCTCTGAGTCTGAGGCCAGGAGCTCTACAAGGCAGCTGCCTGCTGGATAATTAGATAAAGCTTATAAAGAATTGTTGGTTTATTTGATACAGTTCCGTCTACTTGATAACAAGGGTAATCCTAGGTTGATATTAAACCACTTGTTTTTAATTTGGTTTGTTTAGCTATACTTCACTTCACTTTGTGGGCTAGCAGATAAAGGAGAGGAAATTAGCACCCTGTCTGCTTTGGAGGTGTTTCTCCACGTGTCAGGGCTGGGAGGGGGAGAGGTGGTCTCACTGGCATCGGGGCCATCACCAGAGGCTTCTCCTGGCCTGCTGGCAGCCCTGACCACTGTCCATGGGGCAGCATGTGTAAGGGCACCTGCTACCTCTCCTAGCCCCTTGCTTGCTCCACCACAATTGACACCCGATTGCTGCTTGCCAGCTGTTTTCCAGCCTAAGCTTCCTGTTGATGTCAGATCACTGTGCACCTGGTGAGCCTTGGAAGGTGTTGCTTTTTGAAGCAGTTTGCTATGACTTGTCTTGCCTGCTCTCCTAGCCCAGCACAGTCCATCCTTCTCTGGAGATACTCAAAACCCGCTTGGATGCCATCCTGTGCAACATGCTCTAAGTGATCCTGCTCTAGCAGGGGGGTTGGACTAGATGATCTCTAGAGGTCCCTTCCAACACCTACCAATCTGTGAATAGGCCAGCTCTCCACCACTGTGGGCAGGATGTGGCCTGGGCTCCAAGCCATCAAAGTGGTGAGTGGGTGATGCAGAGAAGCAATGTCCCAGGAAACCTGTCTGAGCACCAGGTCCCCAGCGGGGAATCCTTCGCTCTTCCTGAGAGCCTGCAGCTGTATGTCACCGCTCTCCGCTCCTACAACTCTCCGCCATGGCAGGTCTCTGCACTTGACTCCCACCACTGTGCTGCATTTCCATGCTGCTAGCCAGGGCAAATAAATCACAGCTCCCAGAAATACTGATAGGCACAGCACCCCTGTGCCAAATGCTCCTCCTGTGCAGTTCAGGAGGTGCTCAAAGCCCTAGGACAGCGACCCAGGCTGGGAGCAGCAGAGTCCGGGTGGGCAGCATCCCTGCCTGCTCCTGCACTCAGGTCTTTCCCACCCAGCCCTCTCACTCCGCATTGCAGCAGGCAGGCGCTGGCCGCGGCTCCGCAGAGGCAGCTAGGGAGGAAGGCAAGGCACCCGCTTGCACTGCAGCAGGAGCACTTCTCCGAGCAACCCCAGCACCCAAGTCCAGGTTCCTCAGACCTTCTCCCCAGCATGCTACCTCCCCCATACAGAGGTGAGAGTGGGGCGAGCCTGTGCAATACACCCCTGCAGAGCTTGCGGCTCCAGTTCAGGGGCTGTTCCGCTCCCTCCCCCCCCCGCCCTGACTGTCCCCAGGAGACCAAACTAGACCGTGCCTGCAAAACATCTCTACGCAGGCAGCTAAAGGAGGAATTAGTGATTTAGTCCTGGAATCTTCAATAAATAAATCACAAGGGTAAGTGCCCTCTGGGATGCCCCAGAACATGTCCTAGGAGACTTTCAGATTAATTTCTCCCAAATATCAGCCCACTGCTACCTGGAGAGCTAAACATGACCAGAACCAGCAGCATGGACACTTGTTCTCAGTCACTCTGCAAACTTCAGCCAGGCAGGTCCGTCCATCTGTCCAGGCTGGGTGATGAGACAGGGCACCCAAGAACCACAGGCAGCCCAGGAGCCCTATGCCAACAGCAGAAGGCTCCTGCTCAGTCCACCACCCTCTTCAGAGAAACAAGGAAGGGCTTGGCAGGCAGCATGTCCTAGGCAGGATGCAGGTGTC